GCCCACTGGGGTTCAAGGAGACAGAAGCAGACATAGAAAAATAACTTTCTATGTTAGAAACGCCATTGGTAAACCCTAACCAGACAGGTGGCTCTGTCTAGTTAGGTCCAGTTTTTATGTCAATGAATGAAAGAGAGAAGATCCAGTTAGACCCAGTAGAAGCTGAGCCCAGAGCTATAGGAGAGAAACAGGACTGAACACTGAAAAACACACCTTCCATCGGTGTTATCGGTCGTCTGCATGCCTGAATAGAGCCATGCAACGCTGCAGTTACTGTGGAGGATATCCAAAGACGATGCTAAACGCCTCAGAGATGGTGGTTGGTTTCCATAACCCTCACAGACCCGGCGGACCAAAGCTCACTAGTTGAAGGGAGGATCCAGAGCACATCTTCAGCATCTAGCTGCGAGGATCTACTGAGGTCAGAACCTTGAATTCAAACTATAGTCAGTGGAAGAAAAAGGCAGATTTTAGGCCTCAAAGTTTATTCAGTGTTGGATCCAACGACAATGGTCCAATTGAGAGGATTAACAAACACTCTGAGGGTCTCTGGTTCTGTCCTAACAGACATGAAGGCACTTTGAAGGTTTCTCTCATTAGTGAACCTGATTCAGACCTAAAGAGACTAACGTATATGTGAGGTTCTACCAGGACCAGCAGAGGAGAGCAGAGACCTTTTCTTCACTGAGACCTGGTTGGGTCTCAGTGAAGAATGAGTTCTGCTGCTTCCCATCTGGATCAAAACCTTCAGCCTCTCATCCAGAACTGTGCAAAGATCCACCAACAGAGACTCTGTCTTCAGGCTCTGATCCACATTAATAAAAGAACCAAACCGGGCCTGGCGGGTCGGAACAAACGGCAGGAGGAGCATCATGAGGAACATGAAGCGGACATCTTTACTCTCCAGGAGGAGACGGAAGGTCGCCATGGCAACAGGGTGTCACAGAGACCAGACTTTATGCATAAAACTCCTTGGTGGGAGCTTTCTGATAAGCTGCTCCAGAAGCCTTCCTCTCTCCCAGGTCGTAGCTGCCTTCATCCTTCTTCCTCATTCTGTACACCAGCAGGAGGATGAGGAAGATGGCAAACAGGAAGCCGATCACGCCGCCTGCAATAACAGCTGAGAGGGACGGGGTCAAAGTTCAAACTGGTGTCATGAACAGAGACTTCACGTGTGGACGGGTCAGAACTCGGACACCAACCTGCCAACACCTCCGTCCTCTGGAAAAGGGTTTCAGTTCGAACTTCAACGGTTTCCAGAGCAGAACCAGGAGATCTGGTGCTACTGGTCAACTGGTTCTGGTCCTCTGTGGCTGGAAGTGGATCCTGTGGGAGGAAGAAATTGAGATGATGAGAAGCAGGCAGGCGGCTCTCAGTCGGCATGTAGAGCAACAACCCATTAATCCACTTTATGGCGAATGAAGGATTTATTTTAGTCATGAGCTCCAAGTGTTTAAATCAGAGGAAATCAGTTGAATCTATTTATTTCCCTCAGAGACGACGATGATGATGATGATGATGATGATGATGATGATGATGCTCCATCTGATCATCTGTCTCCAAGTCTACAGACGAAGGTTTAGTTCCACCGTGTTCTAAGCTCTAACCTCCGTCTTCGCGGCCTTTCCCTCCACGCCGGGCTCCACGCTTGGAGTGAAGAACTTGGTGGCGTCCTTGGTGGGCTCTGCTGCTCTGGGATCGATATAAACCCTGCTGACCGTCATCGTCTCCTCCAGCTTTTCTTCTTCTCCACCTAAGAGGAAAGAGCAGAGAAACTTTCACCGCGCTGTTTCCACTGATCTGATCCATCTCTGAACAGCCATTAAGACGACATGGAAACGTTTCTGGAAGAGAAAACCGCGTCCTAACGAGTCTTCAAAGCCTTTGGGATGGAGCATCAGATGTTTCTACAGCTCAAACTGAGGGAACTTCAGCTGAGTGGACATGATGAGGACAGCTGTCTGTGGAACAGGAACATCTGCAGACCTCAGAGACACGATGGTCCAAAGAACCTAATCTGAGGAAGGATAAAAAACTTCCCAGACGCCTTCATGATTCAGGAAAGGAAGAAGTTTGGAACCAGCAGGAGAGCCGGAAATCCAAACTGACTGATCGGGATAAAAAGGCCTTGGAGAAAAACACAAGAACCCCATGACCTCCGTCGGTTCTCCAGCGTTCCTCTGTGGAGAAAGGAGAACCCTGCAGAAGGACAACCAGCCAATCAGGACTGGAAGGCAGAGCAGAGTCCAGACTGGATCCAGTGGGATCCACCAGATGGAAAATGGTTTAAACCGTCTAAACATGGTGGATAAAGGTGCAGCAGAGGCTGTGGAAACGCTCTGGATAAACTCCTTCCAGAAAATACCAAGAAACTGAACAAGAAGAGGAGGAAAGGTGTGTTTACCTGAGCCGGAGGCGGAGCTAAAGTCATCATCGTCTTCTGGGTAGAAACCGCCTGATCCGTCATCATCCAGGAACAAGTCGTCTCTCTGAGAGGAGCTGCTGGCTGCTGCCGCCGACTGGAAAAGGTAGAACGTTAAAACCATCTAAGAAACCCACGCATGAAGATCTACGTTCCTCAGCTCAATCAGACTAAAGTCAGGGTTAGGGTTACCAGAGGAAGAACGTTTTTAAATTTAGCATCAAGCTTCAGCTAGAAAACAGCAACCAGGATCTAGATCTGCACCCAGAGCTGAA